TAAACTCATTTTTTTAGTTCTAGTTGCTTTTTTGAAGATTCCTTAGAATTTTCTATACATAATAGAATGTTATCTGTAAATAAAGATAATTTTATATCTTCCTTTTCAATCTGTATACCTTTTAATTCTTTTTTGAATCTTATTGTAATGACTAGGACCTCTAATACAATGTTAAATAGAAGCAAAGAAAGTGTGTTATCTTTGCCTTGTTTCTGGTCTGAGATTCGGTCTTTCACCTTAAGTATCCTGTTGTCCGTATGTTTTTTGTAGATTCCATTTATCAGTCGAGGAAGTTCTTGTCTATTCCTAGTTTATTGAGAGTTTTTAGCTGGTAAATGCTTTTTCTGCATCTATTGAGATAATCACATGGATTTTTCTTTTTTATTCTGTAATATGGTGACTTATACCAGTTGATTTTTGTATATTAAATTGGCTTTGATTCCTGCGATAAGAGATAAGCCTGTGTGTGTGTGTGTTGTGTTTAATAGTTTTTCTGAATTTAATTTGTTAATATTTTGTAAAGGATTTTTGTGTCTATGTTCATGGGGGATATTTGGCTGTGTTTTTTTTTTTTTTTTCTCATAATGTCTTTGTTTGGATTTGGTATCAGGTTAATGCTGGTATTAGAAAATGAAAAAAGGAGTTTTCCTTTTGCCTCTATTTTCTAGAATAGTTTGTGTAACATTGCTATTATTTTTTTCTTAAGTGTTAGAGTTCACCAGTGAAACCACATAGGCCTGGCACCTCCTTTAACATTTATTGTAATGCAGGTTTGCTGTTTTCGAATTCTCTTAACATTTATTTGTCTGAAAAAGTCTATTTTTGCCTTCATTTTTGACCATTACTTATACTGGGCATAGAATTGTAGGTTGACAGGTTCTTTTACTTTTTAGCACTTTAATGATATTATTCCACTGTCCGTGGTCTGTCTAGTTTCTGACAAAAAGTCTATGATATTTCTTATCTTTGTTCCTCTGTACCTGATTTGCCTTTTTTTCCTCAGGCTTCTCTGGAACTGTGAGTTTATAGTTTTCATAACATTTAGAAAAATTCTGGCCAAATATTTCTTCATATATTCTTCTACCCCTCCCCCTCTTGTTTTTCTGGGACTACAGTTATACAAATGTTAAATCACTTGATACTGCACGGTGAGTCACTGAGGCTCTTTTCATTTATTTCTGTCTGTTTTCCCCCTCTGCGCTTCATTTTGTATACAGCTTCTAATAATGCCTTCCAGTGTACCTTTTTTCCTTATGCAGTGTCTAATCTTCTGTTACTTCTATCCAGTGAAATTTTCATTTCAGATATTGTGTTTTTCATCTCTAAGAATTCCTTTTGGCTTATTTACTATCTTACATTTATCTCCTCATTATGTTCATGTTTTCTGTTAAGTCCCTGAGTATATTTACATTATTTTAAAATGGCTGTTTTGAGTTATTTTCTGTTAATTCCATCATCTCTTTCAGCTTGTACTGACTGATTTTCCTCCTGGTTATCTGTGGTTACGTTTTCTTGCATCTTCACTTGTCTAGTCAAATTTGGTTGCCAGACATCGTGAATTTTGCCTTGTTGCGTACTGGTCTGTTGTACTCATTTATAAAGAGTGTTAGACTTTGTTCTGGCAGGTCAGCTCAATCCTTTCCGGACTAGATTTTAAGATTTTTAGGTCACATCTAGAATACTCTTTATTCTAGGGCCTACTCCTATGATCTTTAGTTTATGCACTGTTTTGTCAGTGAGATTTTCTCTACGCAGAATGGTGGCAACTTCAATGATTCCTGACCCCATTTGAGCTCTGGGATATGTTTGGCTTACAGCTCCTCATTACATTTTCTTTCCCTGGCAGTTGTTCTTTGCCTGACTCTACAATGCTTAGACTGGTATTCAGCCAGAATCTCAACAGTATAGATTTCTGGATCTTTCTCTTTCTCTCTCATTTTATTTTTTATTTTTATTATTGTGCTTTAGGTGAAAGTTTACAGCTCAAGTTAATTTCTCCTTCAAAAATTTATACACGTATTGTTTTGTGACATTGGTTGCAGTCCCCACAATGTGACAGTACCCTCCCCCTTTCCACCCTGGGTTCCCTGTGTCCATTTGTCCTGTTCCTGTCCCTTCCTACCTTCTCATCATGCTTTTGGACAGGAGCTGCCCATTCGGTCTTGTATATCTGATAGAATTAAGCAGCATGTTCCTCGTGTGTATTACTTTTTGTTTTATAGACCTGTCTAATCTTTGACTGAAGAGTAGGCTCCGGAAATGGTTTCAGTTCTGGGTTAACAGAGCGTCTGGGGACCATAGTTTCAGGGGTTTCTCCAGTCTCTGTCAGACCATTAAGTCCAGTCTTTTGAATTTGAATTCTGTTCTACGTTTTTCTCCCGCTCTGTCTGGGAACTCTCACTTTATTTTATTTTTACAATTCCCTCCTCTTTGGTACTCTGCCTTGCAAATTCTAGTTGCCTCAGCCTCACCAAACTCTGACCTCTGGCTCTTCCAGTTAATAAGACCATCAGGGTCTGTTTGCTTTTTCCTCCCTGCATGGCCGTTTGGAAATTTTGTCTAGGCAGAAAGCTGAGTGATTATTGGGCTTACCTTATTTGTTTCGGGGTCACAGTCCTGCTCTTCCTGTTGTCCAGCATCCTAAAATAGTTTTTTCATACATTTTTTCCAGTTTTTAAAATTATTTACAGTGCTAGGGTAAGACTCATGTCAATTTTTCTTTCATTAGTAGAAGCAGAAGTCCATTCTGCCTTTTTTTTCATTTGTAAAGTTCTCTGTTTTAATACCATGTTTCTGTCAAGACTTTAGCTTCTCCCTAACAACGCAAACTTCAGGCACCTGACTTTACACTTACACTTTTCTAAGAATCAGAAGTATAAAAGCTACAGGTTTAATCATTTGAACGTAAGCATAGTGGTGACTAAAAATACAGACTTTCAAAAAGGCTTTACCAGCAAGCACATACCTTTAAAAAAAAAACAAAACTGCAGTTGTATATCATCCCATAATCCCACCAAACCCACTGCTGTCTAGTCAATTTTGACTCATAGCAACCCCATAGGGTTTCCAAGGCTGTAAATCTCTACGGAAGCAGACTGCCACATCTTTCTCCCGCGTAGCCGCTGGTGGTTTCGAACCACTGACGTTTCAGTTAGCAGTTGATTGCTTTAACCGCTGCACCACCAGGGCTCCTTGCAGTTGTATATAAAAAAGTAGATAACTTTACCTGTTTACAAAGCCATTTTCATTTATAGACTTGTATTGTCTGTACTGTTATCAGTCATCTTTAAGCCCAAAATGTTTTAACAATCCACACTAGCAAATAGAGTAAACATGCTTTGAAATCAAAGTGCACATATAAGGTATAACTCCAAGCATTTCTACTCTGCACATGGGCACATGGCCTGTAGAATTCCATCACTTAGCCTGCTGTTCGTACCCTGGGCTGTTGCCATCAAAGCCTTTTTAAAATGAAGTTGAGGGACTGCATTTATCACTCTGTTTTTGGCATGAGATCCTGATATGTCCTGTGTACAGACGGTTAAAAGGCAGCACAGATTTTGGAGTCTAACAGACTTGGGTAGTTCAAATATTAGTGCAGGTTATTTAATGTCCCTGAAAAATTTTGATATGTTTTCTATAAAACAAGAATAACACTACTTAACTGAGAAGACAGTTGTAAAGATTAGAGAAAGGTAAGGTGGTTAGAATACTGCCTGACCTACAGACATTTATCAAAATAGGGTAGTTGTTATTGCTAAAACTTTCATATTCTAAATTTAATTTAAAATAACATTTTGCCCAAATACTGCAGATTTGTACACAGCATTCTGCCTTTGAAATGCTCTCTACACTAACTACGAAGCTTAAAATGCCAGTGAAATAGATGGGCACTGATTTTAATGACCCAGCAATTAATACTGTGTGAGATTAGAGTGGAATCCCTGGTGATGCAAACAGTTAACATGCTCGGCAGCTAACTGAAAGGGTGGAGCTTCAAGTCCACCTAGAGGCACCTTGGAAGAAAGGCTTGGTGATCTACTTCTGACAAAGTAGCCTTTGAAAACCTTTTGGAGCTCAGTTCTACTCTGACACACATAGGGTCACCATGAGTCCAAACTGACTTGATGGCAACTGGTTTGTGTTTTGGTTTTAAGTGTAGAGTATCCAATGTCAAAAGAAAGACTGAATCACCAGGCCCAAAACGTCCTTCCCATAGAGTTTTTCTTTTTACCTTTCTCTTGGAGGTGAAATTCATACGACATAAAATTAACCATTTTAAAGTGTACAATTCGGTAGTATTTAGTACATTCACAGTGTTGTGCAACCTCTATCTCTATCTGCTTCTAAAACACGTTCATCATCCCAAAAGAAAGCTCCATACCCATTAAGCAGTCACTCCCCAGCCTGCTCTCTTCTAAGCACCTGGCAACCACTAATTTGCCTTCCATCTCTATGGATTTACTTATTCTAGATATTTCGTATAAATGGAATTAAATAATACATGGCCTTTTGTGTCTGGGTTGTTTCACTTAGTGTAATGTTTTTGGGGCTCATCCACATTGTAACATGTATCAGTACTTCATTCCTTATTATGGCTGAAAAAGAATCCATTGTATGTATGTACCACATTTTGTTTAGCCATTCATCTGCTGATGGACACTTGGGTTGTTCCATCTTTTGGCTAATGTGAATAGTGCTGCTGTGAGCATGTGTACAAGTATTTATCTGAGTATTTGTTTTCAATTCCTTTGGGTATACAACTAGGAGTGGAGTTGCTGGGTCATGTGGTAATTCTAAGTTTAACTTTTTGAGGATGCCTTTAACAGGGATAGGGCAGAAGCAGAAGAATGGGCCGTGCGAATTCATGTGAGCCATGGAGTCGATCCAGTTTGTGCCTACCACATACAGCTGACCCATTACCACATCTTTAACCTGTTCTGCTAGCAGAGAAAGGTGAGCGCTGGAAGTCCCTTACACCTCTGGCCTTTCTCCCCTAGGCCTGTGTCTGGCTGTCCCTGAAAGAACTGTGAGATGGTGCACGGTGTCAGATCATGAGGCTAGAAAGTGCTCCAGTTTCCATGACAATATGGTAAAAGTCCTTCCAGCGGATGCTCCCTTGTGACCTGTGTGAAGAGAACCTCCTATCCTTAGTGCATCAAGGCCACACGGTAAGTCACTGCTGCCTAAAGGAGAGTGGAAGAAAATCATCTTCTGTACCTGGTGTAGTTTATTACTTCAGAACATCTTTCTTCCCACAGAAATAGACCATGCTGGAGAGGAGAAAGAAACAAGCCAAAGACCTGAACGTGCAGGGACCCTGTGTATAGAAAAATATAGGTGCTCGACATCCACTGATTGTACAGAAAGAAAGAAAAGAATCAAGCAATGAATAGAGAAGAATCAATAAAATAATTATAAAATTCTTAAGGAAAGGCACATGAATGAGAATATAAAATAGTGTGATGAAAAAGAGAAAGTAGCAAGGGGTGTGCTGAGCCATACCTAATACTATTACATATTTAAATAACAGTATTACTAAGAACAGTATGTTGTTGTTGTTTGCTGTTGAGTTGATTCCAACTTACGGCGACTCGTGTACAGAGTAGAAAGACACTCTCTAGGGTTTTCAAAGTTGTTACCTTTCAGAAGCAGATCACCAGGCATTACTTCCAAGGCATCCCTGGGTGGGTTTGAGTGCCAACCTTTTGGTTAGTACTCCAGTGCTTAATCATTTGTGCCACCCAAGGACTAAAGAACAGAATACTGGTGTAGGTATGGAAGACCTGGAAGATAACAAAATTAAAAGATATTCCCAACTGTCTGCATATCTACCCATCTATGTATGTTATAGGATATAGAATGCAAATTATGATACATGTCCAACATTAGGGCACTAGGTAAGATACATGTAGATTTGGGTAGACATGTATGATAAGGCACTTTTCAAACAAATGGCTGAGAAAAGATTCTTTAGTTGGACAACTGGATAGCCATTTGGAAAAAAAATCAAGTGAAATTCTTAGTCCATTCACCAAAACCCCTGACTTGACTCAACTTCACTAAAGGAGATAGAGGTAACAAGGTAAATCACAAAAATAGACTAATCTGGAAATGTAAAAAATTTATATGACAAAGAAAAGTAGGGGGAGAAAAGCCCTGAGCATACAAAAAAATATTCCCATCAGCTATGGCAAAATAGTATACCATGTAAAGATGTCATTCAGATTTATAAGAAATACTTAAGAATAGTAAGCTATAAACAAACCACTTGCAGAAAAGAAATTACAACTAATCAATGTAAACAATAAAGGAAAAATGTTCATCCTTTTTAATAATTGAAGAAGTTCAAGTAAGACCATTCTTAAAATAACAGCTTATTCCTGGTAATGTAATAGCATTTCTTAAATGGTACCATTTCTTGCTTGTAGGCTTGCACTGAAATTGGTATGCATTTGCTACTGGCATTATAAATTTCTGCATCACTACTGGAAAACAATTTGGACATATTCAGTAAGGGTCCTAAAGATGCATGCAAACTTTTATTTATTTATTTATGCCGTTGTGGGACCTGGTTAAGTAGTCTGTAAGACTGTTGTCTTCAGATATGTCATTGAGGATGCAGTTAGGAAGGGAAGGTGTATGTAAAATGGGGAAGAGGAAGAACAAGCTGGAACCTACAGTCATGAGCTGGAGCGCACAGGGAAACCAATAGAATCGATAGATACTGTAAAATGAGATTGAGGGAAGAGGAGGACAAGTATATAGAGACACAGTACCAAGTTCAGAAAAATCTAACCTCATTTCTCAGAAGAGACTGTGCGGTTGTACTTCTCAAAGCAAAGCAGGAATCCTTGGCCAACAGATGAACTTAGCGGAATCCAAATCTGGGAGTGGATAAGATGATGTTTTGTGGATGGAAATATTCTAAAATCATTCATTCACTTATCCAACAAACATTTATGGAGCACCTACTGGTGCTGGGTCTTATAGGTGCTAGGATTCAGCAGTGAATAAAACAGACAAAAATGTCCCTGCCTTCATGGAGCTTACATTGTAAAGGGGAGGACATACAACAAAGAAAGCAAGTTTGTCAGATGGTGATAAGACTAAGGGGAAAAATATGAAGATTGTAGGATGTGGCAGTTTTAAGAATGTGGTCCGGGAAGGCCTCACTGAGAAGCCGACATTTGAACAACGGCATGAGGGAGGTCAAGGAGCTCTGAGCTGTGCAAGTATCTATGGGGCCAGTGTTCCTGGCAGAGGACTTAGGTGTGTCTTCCTCAGAGGAGAGGGATTTCATCGTGGTCTGGTCTCTTCCAGACAAACCAAGCCGATGCTGTGACTCTTGATGCAGGATGGGTGTTTGAGGCAGGCCTGGCCCCCTACAACCTGAAACCCGTCGTGGCAGAGTTTTATGGGTGAAAAGAGACTAAGTTCTCCCTGGGGACCCAGATGTCTGTACTGACACTGCAGCCATGGGGGGAGGCAGGGTCTTGGTCAACTTACACTTGCAAACAACAAAGTTGTTTGATTGCATGAGGTAGTCATCGACACTGACCCACGAGGGCTGGGGTTTTGGCTCTCCTGGGAAGCAGTGAACTTTGTGCACCTGACAGATACGCTGTCGGTGCTGCTAGATGGGGGTGTCTTAGTTAACTAGTGCCGCTATAACAGAAATACTACAAGTGGATGGCTTTAACAAAGAGAAATTTATTCTCTCATGGTTTAGGAGGCTAGAAGTCTGAATTCAGGTGCCAGCTCCAGGGGAAGGCTTTCTCTCTCTGTCAGCTCTCGGGGAAGATCCTTGTCATCAGTCTTCTCCTGGTCTAGGAGCTTCTTAGCACAGGGACCCCAGGTCCAAAGGACGTGCACTCCTGGCTTTTCTTGCTTGGTGGTAATGAGGTCCCCCTGTCGCTCTGCTCGCTTCTCTCTTTTATATCTCAAAAGAGGTTGACTCAAGATACAACCTAATCTTGTAGATTGAGTTCTGCCTCATTAATATAACTGCCTCTAGTCCTGCCGCATTAACATCATAGAGGCAGGATTTACAACACATAGGAAAATCACATCAGATGACAAAATGGAAGACAATCACACAATACTGGGAATCATGGCCTAGCCAAGTTAACACACATTTTTGGGGAACAAAATTCAATCCATAACGGGGGGTATCCACAGCCTGTGAGGGGGAGGTGCTGTCCAGAGTCCATTGCCTACCCAGTGGGATTGCACCATGGGAGGATCATCTCTGGAGACACAGACAACCTTTTCCCTGTTCTCAGTCCCCTGCAGCGCTACAGAAGCCAGGGCCTGTGTCTTGTTGTATAGGGAGAGTCTGGGGGGGTCTACGAATGTGGCTTTGCCTCATTCCCACACTTTTCCATTAGTGTCATCGTGTGAGAGCACAGCCTGCCTGCTTGACTCCAGCTTGCAGGGCCCTGGCAAAATCCTGAGGACGCCCCTGCATCCTTCGCCTCACACCTTCACCTTCTGTCTGGGTGTAGACATAGAACCAGAGAAGGGTGCAAAGCCCTTTGGGATGAACGGTAACATCATAATAACCTGGAGCTGAGGGTCTCCTTAAAAATGCCCCGCAGAGCTCAAGTCTCCCCATTGGCTCGGAGGGGCTGGCGGAAAAGAAGCTAGTTTTATGGTCTTGAAAAGGGATAGTTTTCTCTCTCTTGTAAATCAAGAGTATTTTTCATTCTCTTTTCTGCCTGTTTGCCAGGGGATATGGTGCAAGTCCTTGGACCTCCCGAAGGTTCCCCATTGCATACACTCTAGAAATGTGGCATCTTTCTTTTGCCCTTCCTTTCTCCCTGCCCCTTTGCAGATCCACAAACCCACTATTATGCTGTGGCTGTGGCGTTGAAGGGCAGCAGCTTCCAGTTGATGCAGCTCTGAGACAAGAAGTCCTGTCACACAGGTCTGGGAAGGTCTGCTGGATGGAACATCCCATCAGCTTACTTCTCAGTGACTTGCCAGAGCCACGTGTGCCAATTGAGAGTGGTAAGCGGGCAGGAGGGTGGGTGCATTCAGGCAGGCATCTCTACTCCAGTTGCCCACACAGGCCACATTGGGGCCACTCAGTCACTATCAGGTGAACATGTGTGATGAATTCTGTGGGGATCAGGGAAGAGGGAGGTTCAATCTTTAAACCCAAGGCAGGGTTTCCTTGGGATCTGGCAGCTGAATTTTTTATTCTTTCAGCAAATATGCATATGTCTCTCTGAGCTCCTGACAGCCCCACACACATGACAACCTCAGCAGCTTGGCTTGGCCAAGGCCACCATTGAGGCCCACTGAGAAAGGGGACCTTCCCTCCAGCTTCCCAGGAAGCTCACTAGGGGATTACAGCCACCTGCCAGCAGTCAGACCTCAGTGGCTTGAGTAAGGGCATTGGACACCAGCAAGGAAGGGGTGAGTGGACCGGAGCTATGATTGTTTATGTACTCTGGTTTTGTTCAGTTATGATAGTCGACGTGAGCCTCGGGTGTATTTTCAGCCCTTGAGAGGTGATGGCCAGGTCTTTCTATACTCTGCAAAAGTGTACCTTTTGGAGCCCTGCCAACCTCTGCAGCATTTGTTTTTTGACTGTGATTGGGATAAGGCACTGCTGGCATTGGATAGAGTGCTGCAGCCTGGGCCACAACTCTGGAGCCATGTTCTGCCCTTTCTTGGGGTTCCTGCTTGTCTCAGAGTTAGACAAGGCTGGGTGTCTGTGTGGGCAGTTGTGTAGTGGCTGTTGGCGTGACCCCCACCTCACCAGCTTCCTCCATGGGTTCCCAGAAGAAGGATCCCCATGAGCCACCACAACCTCTGGATGCAGAGAAGGTGGGGTAGGGGTGGTTGGGACCGTGTCCTGAGGTAAGGAAGGGCTGTCAGAGGTTGGTTGACCTACCATGTGTTTAGAGTTCTATATGGCCCGTCTAGAGCCTCCATGCTGGTGAGTTACCAAAGGCCAGTGGCCCTGGGGCTGCAGTTTGTGTTCAGTGTCGGTCAGCAGCTCTTGCACCTGGAGTGGACAAGCTGGGGAAACATTCCTCTGGGCTTAGCCCTGGCCCACACATGAGCGTGATGCCTGAGCACACAGGGGCCTGGCCACCCACTCCCTCAAGCACAGGCATTGTCAGCTGCCTCTGACAGGCTGCACACAGCTATCCTGGGTGTGCTGGCTTCCTCAGGACAGTCCCGGAAGTGTCTGCAGACTCGTGGCTCTCATATAGGGCCACCCCACTCACACACATGCACAGCACAGAGGCCCCCAGCCAGCTCATGCATGCGGTCCATTTCTCTGTGTTGAGCAGCAGTGTCCAAGTTCTTCTCGAGCAGCTGTGTCCCCTGTGTGGATCCGGAAAGGTTCCCCAACCTGTGTCAACTGTGTGCAGGGACAGGGACAGCCAAGTGTGCCTGCAACTCCCAGGAACTGTACTTCGGCTACTCGGTGCCTTCAAGTGAGTGAGCTCGTATGCTGCTCCTTCTCACTCTGGAGACAAAGGCACCAGCAGCGGACAGGGCCTGCCCTAGCCCCCTAGAGCGTCAGCATGAAACCCAGGGTCCCGAGTCCCTCCTGTGGGCAGCTTCTAACCATCCTGAGGAGCAGTGTTCTTTGTGGGGACCCTCTTGTCTTGTTAGCCTTGTTACGCTCCTGTCCAGGGAGGGCTGAGAGGACAGACCATTTCTGGGATTCTGAGATCCGCTGACATAGGCCTAGGCTCCCCTGCGGGCCAAAGACCAGAACCACTACCCCACCCCACCTTGCACCTTTCTGCCTGAGCATCTCCACGTGCCAGGGACAGGTGTCTGCCTCTCCCCACCCCCGCCTCTCTCCATACTCTATTCTCCAAAGAGAAATGGCTGCTGCTCAAAACCAGAGCGAAACTGGCTGAGGATCCAAGGCTATCCAAAGTCTTTATCCTCCATGTGAAGGCTTTCAACTTTTATTTAAAAAAATTTTTTGTTGTTTTTTGCTGCCTTTGAAGAGGAAAGTGAGGGGCGTTCTTTCACATCTTCCCTCTGCAGAGTTACCCGGGATGTCAGCTTCCATGGCCCCTGCTTGCTTCAGGCCTGGGCTTGGCGGGGCGTGGGGGTGGGTTTAAGGCTGGCCCCGCAGACAAACCATCGCCTCTGTGAGGACAGACTGATGCCCAAGAAACTGGTCGGAGCCCTGGGAGCCCACGGTCGGGGCTGCACGAGGGAGGGGCAGGGCCGTGCCACTGGCAGGTGGCCTGATTGCATCTCTCCTGTTCCACAGGTGCCTGAAGGACGGTGTTGGGGATGTGTGTTTTGTGAGGCATATGACTGTGTTTGGTAAGTGCTGGAGGCAGAAGATTACATGGTGCTCCACCCAAGCCAGGGGAACGGGTTCTTTCCTGAAAGTTTCCTTACATCTAGAGATGAGTGATACCGAGATCTTTAATACCACAGGAGAGTTTTTGTGTAAAGAACATGTCTGTTGTTTGTACTTTGCTTAGTGCCCAGTTTGTTTGACCCATAAACCCACTAAGCAAATTTTCTGAACATTCAAATAAAACTTACAACTAATAAAGCAAAACAAGTTTTAATAACCAAATTCTCTTAGTCGTTGAAATATTAGTTTCAAGTTTAATTGCATTCTCCTGAATGCTTCATTATAAATGTCTCCTAAATGCTTGAAATACTTAAAGGAAGCACACAAATTATTGTAATGATTTCAGAACTTATTGGCACCCCTATGATGAAATCTGGTACAAAATTATTATACTGTGAACATAAATGTATTTTTTCTTTGTTTCTATATATGAAAAATTTAAAAATACCAACCTAAAGTCACTTGTCCACTACTATAAAAGATCCCTTATGCTTTTAAAGGAGACTTTTACAGGAGACAATATACTGGGTTTTAGGAGTGGGAATATGTGTGGGTGGCAAACGAAGGTCTGCTCCTGCCACAGCTTAGGCCCTTGTGTGACTTAAGTGGAAAAGTTATTTCTTTCTGAAGCCGTTAGATCACATTGATTCATTTAATTCAATTCTAATATTACTAAATTGTTTCAACTTTTTTCTTCTAAATATAACAATTTTAAATTTAATTTCTCTATAACATACCTAATTAAAACTTTAACCATTCACAGGAAATCTAATTGTACTCCCCTTTTAAGATGCGATTTTTATCAACCCCCAAAGACCTTCTAATACAGTGGGAACTAAAGAGCCAGTTTTCTTTACAGGGTCTTCTCCCTCTTTGTATTTGCAGGGTTCCCGGACTGTGCCCCTAGGCCTCCTTCCACCCCTCAACCCTCCATGGCCTTTCCCAGCAGGACTCTGCCCAGAGGGGAGTGTTACTGCTTTAGTGGGGAGCCTGGTTTATTCTAGTGCGTGGCCTATCAGTCCCAGACTGGCTGAGACTAACAAGTTTTGTTAGCTCTCTAAGCCTCAGTTTCCTCATCTCTAGAATGAGATAATCATGTTACTGGCCTCCCCGAGTTGTTGAGAGGATGAAATGAAACAGCACCCTCAGCACCATCTTTGGTGTGGCATGAACGGTCAGCAAATGCTTGCCATCACCATTCATATTATCAGAGCCACAGAGATGTGGGACAAATCACAGGGATCCTGGGTCAGGCATGCACCTCAGCCCCACGTCTGGCTAGATATGAGATAGTGAACCCGTCATTTCATCTCCCCAGGCCTCAAGTTCCTCATCTGTATAAGTGTTTGGAAAAGATTCTCTGTCCTCTTCAGGTCAAAAATAGCCTGATTCAGTGAGGAGTAGGGAACCACAGCTCAGGGTTTATGCCTGTAGAAGCTCATCTGGCTTTCCCTCCCACAGAGAACCTGCCAGACAAGGCCGACAGGGATGATTATGAGCTGCTCTGCCCGGACAACACCCGGAAGCTAGTGGATGCATACAAGGGATGCCACCTGGCCCGGATCCCTTCTCACGCCGTTGTGGCCCGAAGTGTGGATGGCAAGGAGGACTTGATCTGGGAACTTCTCAACAAGGCACAGGTATCCCCATCTGACCATCTGCTGTCCTCCCCTCCAGCTTTGTGGACCCTCTTTGGATTTGGAGGTTTTCCTTCCTTGCCTTCTTGCCACTGTAGAAGTCCTGTACTCAGGACAGAGCAGGAACCACACCACACATCACTCACTTCACTGACGAGCCACTTAGACTGTACATATGACAGATGGCAGAGGCCATGAAACCCTTGTTGGCATCACCAATCCAGTGGGCCAGAGACTCTCTGCAGAGGCCCCTTGTTGCCCCATTTCTACCTTTTCAATTCTAAACTGGTCCTTCAGATTGCAGCACAGATGGCCCCCCTCTGTAAAGTGCTCCCCATTATCCCATTGGCTTGTGCTTCGGCCCTCTTGACTTACCCCCTAAGGCAGGAACCCTGGGCTAGAGCGTTCACCCCTCCGGATATCCTCCATGATTCAGCACACCCATGTCTGTCAGTGCTCTCTGCTCAGCGCTAGGGGAGTCAGACATGAACCTGACAAAGAGCCTGCCCTTGAGTCCCCACAGGCAAGTGTGGGGACACAGTGAGCACCCGTACAAATTACCACCAGATGGAATCAGTACAACCTGGGGGACATGGATCGGGCACTTTGCAGATGACAGAGAGATTGATTTTGCACAGGCTGTCTGGGAAGATTCCTGTGTGCACCCCAAGGAAGTGGGTGAGAGGGCTGCCGGGGGTGGGCAGCAGGTGTCATTTCATGCAGAGGCACTGCAAAGGCAGGCGGACTTTTGAAAGAGCATGTGGCAGATGCTGCCATCAGTCAGGAATGGCTCTGGACCTGTCAGCTGGAGTCACAGGCAAAGGGCCCGTCACCTTTTTTGGAGGCCAGAAAAGGGAAAAGACTGCTTGAATTGCTTCAGCTGCCCTTCAGTGGCTGGTCAGGGGTGGGAGAGGAGCCCAGGAGTCTTGGCCTCCAGCCCCAGGGACATGGTGCTGGAGCACCAGTGGCTTTAGGAGGAAGACCACCATTCCACTGCCCAGGGGCTGTCAGATTGCCAGGCGTGAACCAGCCTCACTGACTGCCCCATAGGAACACAGAGCAGCAGGCTGGCTTTGGAGAGGGCCAGCTAGCTGCCTGACACGTGACTATTGGCCCCTTCTTACAGGTGTAGGGGTCAGCCCTGGCAGTTTCCCTGAGGCCGCACAAGTCGGACACGCTTGGATTTGTCCTGGAGAGAGAACTGAGAACACCATGAGCCACCAAGATTTCAGAGGTCCTTGGCCAGTGTCTTCACTTTGAGGCCTTCATAGTTTTCTCCCCTTCTGCTTTCCTTGTCTGACTTTTTCCTTCTTCACTGTTTCTTTTATCCTTTGAACAGGAATATTTTGGAAAAGACAAGTCAGCAGAATTCCAGCTCTTTGGCTCTCCTTATGGGAAGGACCTGCTGTTCACAGGTGCTGCCCACGGTTTTCTAAAGGTCCCCCCTAAAATGGTGCCTGGCTGTACCTGGGATATGAGCACATCACTGTCATTCAGCATCTAAGTGGAGGTGTGTGAAGTCCTGTGGGGGAGGGGAACCTGTTGAGCTTGGGCAGCGGGGTGGGGCAGGGCCATTGATTGAGGCTTTCTAGGCACCTGCACGCCTCACCGAACCTTCGTCAGCCTCTGGGGCTCGAGGAACTACCGACTGCATTGGGTTTATACCGGGATTTTCTGCTGAGCTGGGAGAATGACCTAAATTATGAGATCACAAAAGAGTTTTGAAGACCTTCAGATTATAGATAGTTTGTAGGGATAACGGTGCTAGCTCGTTTGTATTATCAGGGATTGCTCCACCCAGCCCAGGCGTATTTGACTTATAGAAAGTGAAATGGCCCATCCTAAACTGAAGTGGGAACATGGGCACTACCACCGTCAGGAGGATTTTGATCCAGCTCTTGCCTTCTGTTAGATCCCTAGGGTTCATTTTTTTCTTCCTTTTTTCATCCTTCTCTCTCCCCTCCGTCCCTTTTGGTTATCAGCCGGTCACTTAACCACTGCATCACAGGGCTCCCTCTCTTTTAGTTAACCAGCATCTACAAAGGCTAGTCACTGTGTTAGATGTGGTCATACAGTGATGCACCAGGACATTGGGTGAGGGGAGAGCAATCAGGCCCACAGCAAAACAAAACAGATGACTACAAACTGGGGTACTCTGCCTGGATGGGAGACAGTCCTGTGAGAGAAAACCCCAGAAGGCCCTGAGCTGGGCTGGTGCTCAGAGAGGGCTCCCCTAGGGAGGTGAGGTCAGGAGCTCTGCTCTTGTCATTCCCCATTTTTCCTGGAAGGTGGTAGGCAAGAAGGAGTGTGTCATGGGAATGGGAATGGGACAGGCCAACCCGACTACTGTCAGTGAGGGCCCTGCATGGGGGCAGCCACTCCACAGACAGTGGCACTAGGCATCCAGTCCCATCCTGGTGCTTCCTTGGGACTCTGGCTCTTCTCTCATCCTAGATGAGGTCAGCTCCAAGAGTGTGCAGTGGTGCACGGTGGGCCACCACGAGAGGGCCAAGTGTGACAACTGGAGTTCTGTGAGTGGTGGCGCCTTAGAGTGCACCACAAAGGAGACCACTGAGGACTGCATCGCCGCCATCCTGGTTCACAGGGCCCCTCCTCCATGGCTGGGTGCAGACACTCAAAAATGCAGCACCTCTGCTGGGTCTGCCATTGAAGGCCCGCTTCCCAGATGCCTCCTGATCAGCAGCTACACTGCAGATGCACTTGTCCTTGCTGCCACCTCCTCTTGGCTGCCCCACAGGCCGCTTCAGCTCAGGGCCAGAAATGCAGAGCCAGCCCAAGACTCAGACTCCTTTGGGCCCCAGCTCTAGTGTCCATGGAGCTCTGAGGGGTGTCATGCTTAGGGGCCATGGGAAGTGGGGGGACATTCAAAGGTGTGGTCAGGATCAGTGTGGATTGTGATAGCAGATTGCCATTTGGAGTCCTTTAGTTGTAAGTTTAATTTCTTTCTTGATTATAAAAAATTCTGTGCCAGTAGAGAAATGGAAAATAAATGAAATCATTCATAATTTCATAACTCAGGGATCATCAAGCATGTAATCTCTAAATTAGGAAGTTCTGTTGTTATTAACTTTCCAATTCTCTATGAGCATGTAATATTCTTGTGATTAGAAAAAAGTATTTAAAAAGACTAAAAAATTGACAAATTTAAGAGACTGTACAAACAGTAAGATCCTAATTTTGGTAAACCTCCCTGGGATCAACCCATAAGATTAAGAGCTAGCTATTTATACAGTCCCCTGAATTTGTCCAGGGTAAGGATTAAATGAATTTGAAGGCTCATAACATTGTTTGGCATATAGTAAGCAGTCAATAAATGTTAGCTATTATTATTATTTCATTATTACTATTAGTATCTAAAGTGTTGAACACAGTTGGTGCACTTTCCCAGGCAATGAAACGTTCATTTAAAATGTTTTTAATACCTGCATAATATTCAAGTATTTCTGTCTTCAACACGTGGATGTCCAGGGCACACGACCTGGGTTGGACGATTGCTCCTGGGTCAGCAAGGCTAAAGGCACACCCAGTTTTCTAATCCCCAGGTTTACATGGCAGAAGATGTGGGTGACCCATGATTTGGATGATTACAAGGACACATGACATGAAGCCAATGTGACAGAAACCTGTGGGGGTTGGTGGGATGGGAAACGGCCTCACTGTTGTACTAGTGATTTGGTTTTTAACTTCAGGAAGGAGAAGCTGATGCCATGAGCTTGGATGGAGGATTCATCTACACAGTGGGCAAGTGTGGTTTGGTGCCTGTCCTGGCGGAGAACTATAGTAAGTGGAGGGGAGCGCCTGTCTGGTTTTATTCCCTCTGGGCCGTGAACATAGATGAGGAAACAGTCTAGTTCAGTGTTGACTTGCCATTGAGATAATAATTATTGTTGGAGTGTAAGGAGCTAGTGATAACATCTCCATTCTCTCCAAGTCAGAAGCAATTAAGATATTGACACAGGAGTTAGGCAGAAAGCCATCCAAACCTTTGTTACTAAAACAGTGATAGTGGAGGGCATGGTGTAGGATTGACCATCAAATCAAAACCAAATCCATTGCTGTTGAGTTGATTCCGACTCATAGAGACCCTATAGTACAGAGTGGAACTGTCCTACAGGGTTTCCAAGACTGCAGATCTTTATGGAAGCAAACTGCCACATCTTTCTCCCACAGAGTGGCTGGTGGATTCGAACTGCTGATCGGTTAGCAGCCATCTGCTTAACTGCTACACCACCAGAGCTCCTTGGATTGATCACAGGGCTTGACAAATCACTCTTGAAATCAGTTGTCCGCTAATTCAGGGCAACAAGTCTGTTGGCTTACCCCATGGCTGAGGACAGATGAAATCACATTTTGTCGTAGGTGAGAAGATCTAACTCTCCCTCTTTTCACTGCCTTCAAAAAATGCCTCCATGTGCCCAGATCGTTTTGACAAGTTTATGAGTCATTTAACTCACTCCTTTCCTGAAAGATTGAAGGGCAGCGCTTCCTGGTCAGTAATCTTCCTTCAGTGGAAGTCTAGCCACATGGAAACATAAAGCCATAGGAGGAGGGGTTTCCCCAATAAATATCATTTACTGAACACTTACTGTATGCCAGGCCATGCATGAAGAACCATACATTTCACATCCAAAACCAACTCTGTGACATGAATAGTGGTATCTCCATTTTACAGACATAAAAACTGAGGCTTAGGCAAGTTAAGTGATGTGTCCAAAGTCACACAGAAAGTGGTAGAATAATCCAGGTCTTTCTGACTTCACAGACTGGCTTCTTTTCCCTCCAAAATAGCAGGAAGGTAAATCATCGCCTATCACAGCTGAGGGCTCTGAAGGGAAGAAATATGTTGGAATGACCTGGATCGCACGGCTAATGCAAAGGGATCTTTGCAAAGATCTTCAGTGGTCTCTGCTCCCCTTCAAAGGGCATTTCATTTTCATTCTCTGCACTTGCCTGAGTTTGGGAGAGATTATGGGATGGAACCTAATGTTCAAATGGCAAACAGCAAGAAAAAGGAGTAAAATGAGTGTGCAGAATCTTAGCAGTTGAAAATCAGTGATAATGTGGTCAATTAGTGCTTCTCATTTTATTCTTGACTGTTGAGATTGACAAGATCATGACTTTGGATTGAGTAATGTTGCTATGAGTCAGAATTGACTCGGTGGCAGTGGGTGGGTTTGAGTTTGTTTTTGAATGTGAGTATTTAACGCTCTCCACCTTGATGTTTTTTTTTTTTTTCTTTTTAGACCATAACGGTGGCAATGCAGGGCTTGGTCTAAGTGTGTGAATATACCTGCAGAAGGTGAGTCAAGACCAGTAGCACCGGGACTCAAAGGTAAAGACTGTTGTTGGGGAGAGGGTGAGCAAGGCCTTAAAAACAAACAACAATTACTAAAGCTGGGGGAGAAAGAGAAGCCACTGCTAATTGTTCAGATGTAAACCTGTCATGAAGCTGTAATGATAATTAATATGTGTAGGGTACTTTACAGTTGACAGAGGACTCCTGCTTGCACTATTCCATTTCCTCTTCTCAGTCATCCTATAGTCCAAACCCACTGCTGTTGAGTTGATTCTGACTCATAGCGACCCTATAGGACAGAGTAGAACTGCCCCATAGGGTTTCCTCGGCTGTAATCTTTACAGAAGCAGACTGCCACATCTTTCT